TAGTGCCTAATGACTGGCACAAAGGACATACCCAGTACACGTCTACTGAAGGAATGAATTACCAGCTCCAATAACCCATTTTGAACCAAGCCAAACAACACTTCATCACCTGCCACTGATCCACCCACTGACACCACAGCCTGGAAACTGAAGAGTCAACAAAAAATTCTAACTTCCCCTTTGCAAGAAATGGACTAAAGAAAATAGAAAAATCAGGAGCTCCTGGATAGGAAAGATGCACCAGGAAAGAAAAAGCCTTCCAATGGAGCAAGAACGTGGCTTCACAATAACTCTTCCTTAAGAAGAATGAAAGGAAACTCCAAAGGCCAGTGAACTCTCAATTCCAAGACAGAAGCCATGTGATTTCCGACTGCACATTTTTTAGAAATGAGTTTACGGCCAAGAGCTTTCTGAAGCCAGAAATGTGAAGATTAAACCCAATTAAACTAGCAATCAATATACCAACAAACTGGAAAATCTACATGAAATGGGCAAATTCCTAGAAACGCACAAAGTACCTAAACTGACTCATGAAGAAATAAAAAATTTAAATACATCTATAAATAGTAAGGAAGCTAAGTAATCGAAACCCTCCCAACAAAAAAAAAGCCCAGAGCCAGAGAGTTTTACTGGTTAATTCTACCAAACATTTAAAGAAGAAATAATACCAATTCTTTTCAAACTCTTCCAAAAAATTGAAGAGGAGGGAATACTTCCTAATTCATTTTATGAGTTCAGAATTACCCTGATTCCAAAGCCACACACACTACAAGAAAAGTACAAACTCATATCCCCCATGACCACAGATGCAAAAATCCTCAACAAAATACTAACAAACTGAATCCAGCAAGGACCGAGGACCAGGGGGAATTTACTCCCGCAATGCAAAAACGGTTCAACACACAAAAACCAATTAACGCAATACAATAATAGGAAGGGGGGGGAATCACATGATCATCTCGATTGATGAAGAAAAAGCATTTGACAAAATTCAACTCTCTTTGATATTACAGTGATATGATAAAAACACTCAACAAACTAGGAAGAGAAGGAAACTTCCTCAACATGATAAAGGCCATATTTGAAAACCCCACAGTGAATGTCACACTCACTGGTGAAAGACTGAAAGCTTTTCCATGATAAGGAACAAAACAAGGATGACTGCTTTCACAACTTCTATCCAACATGATACTCAAAGTTCTAGCCAGAACAATCAGGCAAGAAAAAGAAATAAAAGACATCCAAATTGGAATAAAAGTAAAATTGTCTCTGTTCACAGATGATACGATTTTATATGCAGAAATGTTTAGAGTCCATGGAAAAAACTGTTAGAATAACTAACAAATTCAGCAAAGTTCCAGGACGTCGATTTTGTAAATCAACAGACAAATATCAGTTGCATTTCTATATATACTAGCAATGTACAACCTGGACAGGAAATTAAGAAAACAATCTCATTTACAACAGCACCAAAAAGAATAAAATACTTAGGATACATTTAACCAAGGAACTAAAGACTTGTACAATGAAAACTAGAGAACACTACTGAAAAAAATTAAAGACTTAAATAAAAATTAATGACTTAAATAAATGGAAAGACATCCTATGCTCATGGATTGGGAGATTTAATAGTGTTAGGATGGCAACACTCCCCAAAATTATTTACAGATTCAGTACAATCCATATCAAAATCTCAATGGTGTTTTTTGCACAAACAGAAAAATCCATTCTAAAATTCATACAGAATCTCAAGGGATCCCAAAAAGCCAAAACAATCTTGAAAGAGAACTAAGTCAGAGGATTCACACTTTCTGATTTCAGAACTTACTACAAGCTATAGTAATCAAAACAGTACGGCAGTGGCATAATGACAGACATATAAACCAATAGAATAGAATAGAATAGTCCTGAAATAAACTCTCACAGATATGGTTAAATGATTTTCAACAGTTCAACAGGGAAAGGACCATTCAATAGGGAAAGGACATTCAATAGGGAAGACCATTCAATACGGAAAGGACAGTCATTTCAACAAATGGTACTGGGAAAGCTGGATATTTGCATGCAAAAGACTGTATTAGAAATCTACATTATACCCTACATAAAAATTAACTCAGAATGGATCAAAGACCTAAATATAAGAGCTAAGAATATAAAACTCTCCTAGAAGAAAACATGGGGAAAAATCTTCAGGATCCAAGGTTTGATAATGGTTCATTAGGTATGATACCAAAAGCAGGATAAACAAAAGAAAAAATAAATTGGACTTTATCAAAATTAAGAACTTTGTGCATCAAAGGACATTATTGGGAAAGTGAAAAGACAACCTTGGAATTGGGAGAAAATATTTGCAAATCCCGTTATCTGATAGGGGGTTAATATTCAGAATATATTAAGAACTCCTACAACTCAACAACAACAAAAGTCAATTAAAAAACGGGCAAAGGGGTGCCTGGGTGGGTCAGTCGGTTAAGCGACGGACTCCTGGTTTTGGCTCAGATCATGATCTCATGGATTGTGGCTCCAGGCTCAGCAGGGAGTCTGCTTGAAGATTCTCTCCCTCTGCCCCTACCCCACTTGTATGTGTGCGTGCACATGAGTGTGAACTCTCTCCCTCCCCCAAATAAATAAATCTTAAAAAAAAAAATAGGCAAAGGACCTGAACAGACATTTCTCCAAAAAAGATATACAAATAGCCATAGGCATATGAGAAGATGCTCAACATCACTCACTAATCACTATGGAAATGCACATCAAAACTACGATGTGATACCATTTCACACCCAATAGGATGGCTATAATCAACAAAACAGAAAATAAGAAGTGTTAACAAGGATGTGGAAAAACTGGAATCCACGTCCACTGCGGCTGGAAACGTACAATGATGCGGCTACCGTGGGAAACAGCATGGCAGTTCCTTCAAAGGTTAAACACAGAATTGCTATATAATCCAAAAATTCCACTTCTGGGTTCATACCCAAAAGAACTGAAAACAGAGACTCAAACAGGTATTTATACATTCATTACTCACAACAGCCAAAAGTTAGAAGCAACCCAAAATGAAAAGATAAAATGTGGTATAGTACAAAGGAGTATTATCCAGCTTTAAAAAGGAATGCAATTTCAAATATGCTACAACATCGATAAACCTTAAAAATGTTATGCTGAGTGAAATAAGTCAGTCAAAAAAAGTCAAATACTGTATGATTCTACTTATATAACATATCTAAAGTAGTCAAATAGAATGGTGGTTGTCAGGGGCGAGGGTGGGAGGGCAATGGGGAGTTACTGTTTAATGGGGACAGAATTTACATTTGGGATGATGAAAAAGTCTGGACATAGTGGTATAGTTATATAACATCATGAACGTATTTCAAAAGGTAAACTTTATGTTAGATATATTCTGCCACAATAAAGAAAAAAAACAACAATCAGGCCATATTTTCAGCCCATTAAAAGAATCCCTCATTGGGGCGCCTGGGTGGCTCAGTTGGTTAAGCGACTGCCTTCGGCTCAGGTCATGATCCTGGAGTCCTGGGATGGAGTCCCGCATCAGGCTCCCCGCTCAGCGGGGAGTCTGCTTCTCCCTCTGACCCTCCCCCCATCTCATGTGCTCTCTCTCATTCTCTCTCTCTCAAATAAATAAATAAATAACTTAAAAAAAAAAAAAAAAAAAAAGAATCCCTCATTAAAGGCCAGTTCTCCTGATGGCCTGGGCATCCTTCCCAGGGCAACGAGCCTTGAGGATGCTATGTTGTCCTTTGTATTCTGACCTCAAGACCAGTCCCAGTAATCTGGGCCCCAAATCTAAGCCAAGAGCACAGGTTGGCCAGCCACTGAAAAACTAAGGCTTGAGCTTCCCTAGGCCATGCAGTTTTTGAGCAGAACCGTCTGACAGGGCCAACAAGTTGCCAACAAAAGCAGAAGCCAATCTGGCTAGTTTTCACTCTCTCTTACTTCCCTTCACTTTCCCACAGGATGGCCATGCAGAAAGGAAACCGGCCAGATTGACCAGCCTGACTCTTTAAAGGTGGAAAGTTGAGTCCCTGTTTTCCATTCATCGAAGGTCTAGATATTTACTATCCTTTATATTTTGTAGAATTAATAGTTTTTGCTCATCCAACAAGAGCAGAAATGACAAGCTCCACCCTCTGTGGTCTCTAGTGCCCTTTCACAGATGACCCTGTCAGATCTCAAAATAACCCAGTGAGAATTAATATAGAGGGGTTGTTATCCTCCACTGCAGACATGAAGAAACAGGCTCAAGGAGATGAAGCAATTTGTCCCAAGTCCCACGGCCCCAAGTGACAGGGCCAGGGTTCGCACACAGGTAATGAACTTCAGCGTTCTCCTTCCTCTTGACTACTCGGACAGATCAGAGGTGGAAATGGAATCGGACCATTTTGGTGTCAAAAAAAAGCAAGGAAGATGCTTCCAAGTTTGGTAACTAATAGGACTCAGAGGTCCATCCCCAGAGAAGTAGCCTGGGAAGAACTAAGTGCCCTGCTCTTTCCCTGAGGTGCACCCTGACCTAGAAATGGGTCTTTCTTTTGGACTTTCGTACTCAACGATTCCAGCTGGGCGCTCAGAGCACCGTCCCGTACTGCCCTGCCGAAGGCGCGCTGGAGGACAGGGGAGGGTCTGCCAGATGCACTGAATTTTACCAGGTTGGAAGGCCGGCTGGGTCCTGGGGAAAGGGGGTGATTCAGGGCGCTCACAGGCGAAACACCCGATGGTAACCCAAAAGCGCGTAAAGCGCTAACCACTGACCACCCCGCCCCGCGCATGCGCGGCGACGGCACCGGCGCCAAAAGATTCCCAGCCAGCAAGCAAGCAAGCACACTTGGTGGGCGGGCTCCGACTCCTCGCGCAAGCGCCACCCGCGCGCGCATGCGCGTCCTCAGCAGCTGCCTTTTCCTAGCAGTCCCCTGTTCTCTCGTCCCTGTTCTGTTTCCGAACACTGGCTACCTCAGTCACAGTCCTCACTCTACATTCCTCACCTTGCGCCCGGTTTTTTCCCGTAGGGCTTTCAGCCGTTCCTTTCGCCGCAACGCCTCTTCCTCTAGCCGGCCCACACCAGCCGCAGCAGCCGCCATCTTGCCCACCCTCCTCTTCTCTCGTCCTGCATCGCGCAGGCCCAGGGAGTAGATGAATCTCTGGCGGCCAATCCAGGGACGAGAACGGGAGAACAGGAAGTCGTGAAAGCCAATCAATACTGAGTTGCTATAGGAGGGCCCGCCCTACCTCTCCCAGCAACTCGCCTCGCCTGTTGGGGGAGGGCGCGGCAAAGAAAAAGGCCGTAAGGCTCGATTCGTCCAATGCCAATCAGTGAGAAAGCTGAGAGTGGAATCAGACCTGAGTGAAGGAGGATAGAGCGCGTCGATCGCTCTGCTTTTGCCTAAGCAAGCGCCAACCACAGCTCATTCCCTACGGGCCGCTTGGAATGCGCTTGGCCCAGCCTTGTCCCCTTGTCCTGATTCTCAAGGCCTGAATGCTTTCAAGAAGTCTTCCCTGACCCTACACTCCGATCCCAGTTTAATAAAAGATCTGCCTTTCTTCCTCTACAGGTACCAGTGACTGCCTGGATGCACTGGTTCATGGGCCCCTAGGCCCTCTGTGTCCACTCTCAGCTCAGATAAAGCTGTGCGGTGCAGGGCTTGGCTGGATGGCCATTTCCTCCAGGCTCATGGATGATCCCCTCCCACCTCCAAGCCCCCTGAGGCAGCAAAGTACTCAGGGTCAGACTACCTAACCTGGAGAAGAACAAACCCCCAACCCGGGCCCAGTGGGCCCCAGGAACCCCCTGAGCTTAGTTCCAGAGAACTACTGAGAGTCGATTTGGCCTTGACTGCAACAGGCGGCAAAGAGGTGCACTGCTCGCCGGCCGGGGCTGCCAGGGTCTTCTTTCCTGTGTTAACCAGCATGCCCCAACAACCAGGAGACCACTCTGGCTGAAGTTAAGACCTTCTGACAGGATGTCAAGGTCCCCAAAGCCACACACAGGCCTCCCTCCCCGCCAACACATACCATGACTCGTCTCTCAGCAAAGCTGTTTCCTGCCTGGGGCCTCCCTTCCCAGGCTGGTAGCTGGTGGATGCCCACTCCTCCCACCTCTCTTCAGAGGCCCCTGTGCCCTAAGACCTCTGTCCAGCCCCTCCAAAACGACCCTCTTGACGTCACTAGCCGGGGCCTTTCGGTGCCCTGTTCCCCTGCATCCGGAGGGGTGACTTACCAGAACCTGTACCAGGATCACAGGTAGTACCAGGTAGTAGGTGCTCAGGAAATGTCAGCTCAGAGGTAGGATGGACAGGGCAGGAAAAAAGGCCAGAGTGGAGAGGCTGCCCAAGAAAAAGTCAGGGGCATGGAAAAGGATGGGAATGGGGAAAGAGTCTGTTTTCTCTTGGCCAAGGTCTGAGGGACTCCAGACTCCACTTCCTCTAACTTATAGTACCTTTCTGGGCTCCACAAACTTCTCCTCAACTCCAACACAGGGCCTGACCCCTGCCCAACACCAGGGGGGCCCCTCACCTCCCAGGCAGGCTGGTTGGCGGGGCAGGGAGAGATCCAGGGGGTGATGGTGGCAGTGGGCCAGCAAAGAGTCAGTCAGGCCTCCATCCCCGTCCATGCTGTCCCCGGCTACCCAAGTGATTCTCATTTGGCCCATCTGGGCTTCAATTTCTCCATCTGTAAAACTGAGGCATGAGACATCCTCTTGCCTTTAACCTCTTGAGGTTAAAGAAAACAAAAGATGTGAAGACAAATGCTGGGCCCTAGAGTGGAGGATGCCTCTACTGGAGAATCTGGGAGGCTTCTTGGAAGAGGGCACCCGTGAGGATTGCCTAAATCTCCCAGGGATCTGCAGGACAGATGAAGGGCACTGCTCTCTGATGTCCCCCATCCTGCTCCACAAACAGTAGGAGCAAAAACGTGGCAGTCGGTCTCTGCATTAAAACGCTTAGAACAGCACCAGGCACGTGGTAAACTCTACAGGTGGCCGCTGGTTGTCGTTACCATTTGTTGAAGGACTCTGGCCATCTGAACGCGGCCCGCAGCCCCTGCCCCCCCCCCCACCCGGAGACGGAGACCCCATTCTTGCACGAAGGGTGGCAATTCCAGGCAGGCGCACTGTGCGGCGGGCAAGCCTGGAATACCTGACCCCGACCCTCGTCCGGGAGGCTCGGACCGGCCCTTCCCGAGGCACCGTCGGGGGCGCGGACTGCTGAGGGCGGGACTGCGGGGCGCCCTCCCGGGCCGCCCTGACCTCAAGCTCCTCCTCCCTCCGGGCTCCCCGCCCTTTGCACGGTCCCGGGAGAGGCGGGGCGGTGGTAGCGGCAGCTAAGTGCAGGAAGCCGGGCGGCGGCCGGCCGCGAGGAGGCGGAGCGTGCAGACTTGGGTGGCTCAGCGCGGCGGGGGCCAGTACTACTTCCCCGAGTAGTACCGCGCCGCTCCGCCCCGGAGTGACGCCCTCCGCCCATGGGCCTGGCCGAGGGCAACCGGCGGGCGGCGCGGAGGAGGTGGCGGCGGCAGGTGGCGCGCAGCAGGGCCGGAGCCGGGCCGGGACATGGCCGCCTCGGAGCGGCTGTACGAGCTGTGGCTGCTCTACTACGCTCAGGTGAGCCCGCCCCGCGCCGCTCCCGCTGTGCCCCCAGCTCCGCGCGCCCCGCGCCCGCTGCACCTGCGCCCCGCGTTCCCGGGGCCGCGTAGATGCGCGCGCGCGCAGGGCGGACTCGGACCCCGCACACACGTGTGCGCCGCCCCCGGCCCGCAGGTGCCTCTGGCCTTCTACCTGGGGGCTGACCCCCGCGGGCGTGCACCTCGGAGAGCCTCTCGGGTGGGGACCGCCCAACCTCGGTCGCGCCTGATGAGGAGAGGGGCCCGGATTGAGGCGGCCGGACACCTCCCCCTTTTACAGGTGGAGAAACTGAGGCTCGGCAAATAAATGAGAGACCTTGTTGGGTTGGGAGGGGCAGGAAGGCTTAGTCTGCATTTGGGCTTGACACTCCTGTGGGCGCGGCCCTATTGGGTGGTCATGGCTGAAGGGTCTGAGTGGGCTGGGGGGGGGTGTCGGCAGGCGGGGGGCGGGGAGAGGTAGGGGGCATCCCTACTCTGGTCCAATTTGAGTCAACTCAGACTACTCCGCATCAGTGCGCCGGCAGTGATGAGCTCCTCCCTGACCCTGAGCCGAGGAGGCCCCTACCCCACCCCTGGGTAGACCTGGGGGTCCAGCCAGAAGAAAAGATTTGCCTTGGATGCAGAGGGAGGGAATAGGGGAGGTGAGGTAGGAGGGATGTTTGAAAGGGTTGGAGGGAGGCCCTTTCCTCCTGAGCTCCCTGTCCTGTCTCAGAGACTACCTCCTGTGGCCTCAGAAGGTGAAGGGAGTGACTGACCCAGGTGTCCTGTCAGAGCTGAGAACCTCGTGTCCCCCAAACTCTGTGTCTCACGCACATAGACTCCCACTTTCCTTCTGCTTTCACAGCAGGGAGGGGTCCCAGGGTAACAGCCCCCTCCCCTTCACCTCGCTTCGGCGTCCCTCCCTGCACCTGCCTGGCATCATGCTCCTGGCTCAGGTGTACCCTGGGCACAATGGACTATTGTGTGCCCCTGATCTCATCACTAGGGGGAAGTTCATGACCAGATCAGCTGGCCCTCTGTGAAGAGGCTGGCCGGCTGTCTCCTAGGACTGCAGGCTGGGTCTGGGGCCCTAGGGACCTGGAATCCAGGGCATAAGGACTGCAGCTTCTTGAGTCCACTTCGGTGGTGAGAGGTCCAGGCCCCTGGTAGGAGGCATCGTGTGTAGAGTCCCTCTTCGGTGTGACCCAAGGCAAGCTCTTTACACCTCTGAGCCTCTACTTCTCTATCTGTAAACTCGGCGCAGCCCTGACCTCAGGGTGGCCTAGACTCTGCAGAGGGGTAGCCCGTCTGGCTTGTCTGGGCCAGAGAAAACTCCTGCTTCCCTGGCCCCACTGGGTGCCCTCACTCAGGCCTCTCTGTCTACATCTCCAAGGGTTGGGGTCCTTGTGAAGGGAAAAGATTCAGAAGGAAACCCGCCCCTGGCCCTCCTGCCTCTGATTGCCCAAATGGCTGTGGGCAGATTCTCAGTCCTCAATTTTTTCACCTGTGACCAGGTGAAGGGGGGCTTGAACCAGGTAGTGAGTCCGAGGGATGTTAACGTCAGCGCTGCGGGGGGAAGGCTGTCTCCCAGGACTGGACCTCCAGCGGAGCATGGTTGCCTCCTCCTGCCCCCTCCAGCTGAGCTCTGCAAGTGGCCAGCCCCCCATTCCCTCAGCAGGGGGTTAGCACTCATTTCGGCTGAGTTCCCTCTCCCCATCCAGCTCCTCACCTCACCAGGGCAGGTCTGGGGCACGGGCCGGCTGATTGGAGCCCCAGAAGCCTGGGCAGTCAAGGGGCAGCCTAGGGCCCGGCAAACAAATCCAGGATGTGAGTATGAACCGGAAGCTTCAGCCAACCTCCCAGCACTGCCTTCCTGCCCACTTGGTCCTGCTCCTGCTCCCGGAACAGGTCCCCACCCCTCCATGCTGGGCTCCCAGGGAGTGGTGGCTATGCTACTTTGAGCCCTGCTAGGGACCTATTGTGTGGGTGTGCTTGGGGGAGGGAGGAAGATAAGGGAAGAGGTTGAACTGATAGAGGGTGTCAAGAGACCCCTGAGTTGGCCAGCCACCCAGCCAGAAGGTTCGCCCAACAACCGCGCCCCTCCCCTCAGCTGAGAGAGCTGACATCAGCTGGCAAACCTGTTTTCCCGGTTGTGGGTCTAGGCCCGCCCAAGGGAGCTCCCCTTTCTGCCCTTCCTTTCTCCTCACAGACCCCAGGTTCAGAGCCGCCTGCCCCCCTCCCTCTGTGGGCCCTGCTCAGCTGGGAGCCACAAGTGGGGAAGGTGGCTGCAGGTGGCTTCGGAGGGAGGAAGGAGGGCCAGACTGCCCCTGGACATGACTTAGTCTGAGCCCCTCGGGTCCCTGGTGGGGAAATCAAGGCAGGGTCATACCAAGGTCATGGGACACGTTTGGGGTAGAGTCCATCAGAGCTCCAACCCAGTCTTCCTCCTGTGTTCCATTGCCCAGGAAAGGTCTAGTCCTGCGGGCAGGAGGCCTCCGGTGGGTC